AGGACAAAATAATAATGATTTGAATTGCTGAAAAGACTGCCTGACAGGACAAATTACGGGGAGAGTTTTCTAAGATGCTTTGAAACAACCCATACTTTACCCTCAGAATTGCAAATTCTGCAAGACTCCATTTCACCCAGGAATCCAGGGACTTTGTGGTGGGTGGCATTTTTAATTATCAAGTATCAAGCACGCAAGTTTCCTTTTTTCTTGCCATATTTAATTTAAAATAAGAATGGAAGCAAGAGATAGAGGGAGGGGGAAGGAAATGAAGGGAAGGAGATGAAAAAAAGAATTATAAGTACCTCGCGCTAACCAATTGCACCACTGGAGCTTCGGAAAAAAGAATTAAAGTGTGTTGTGAACATGTATCGACCCTCCACAAAGAATGTCATCATTATTTACTGCAAACTTGTACCAATTAAAATGAAATATTAACTGGAAAGAAATGAAAGCAAAACTTACAAATTTCACGTGGACAGGAGCCCAGGGTGTGAAGATCCACGGCGTGTGGTTCGGCGCAGCTTCCTTTGGAATCTTCCCAGATGATGGGAGAGAAGAGAGAGCAGGTGCTCAGACCAATATTTGGAGACAAGAAACTTTTGCGGCCGCCGGCCTGCCACAGCCTCAGGTGCTTTCCCGCTTCCGGCCTGGTGTTTATGGGCACGTGATGCTTGGGTGGTCTGGGGCTTACCGTCATGGTGTCCTCATTGCCACCGCCAGTCATCATTACCTGCAGCCTGGAGGGGACATCCTTCGTGTGACTGAGCCCAGCAGGAATGGAGCGCTGGCTTTGCAGCACCCTGAGTCGAAAGGGGAGAGATCCTAGGTCGGTCGTGGCGAACCTACGGCACATGTGTTACTTGTTTTTGTTTAAGACAAAAGATGTTAATGTATGAGTTGCTTTATCTAAACTAAAACCTCAGTATTCAGGTCTAATAGCAGGTCGACACTCTGTGATAGGTTTTGGGTTGCAGTTTGGGCACTCATCCCTAAAAGGTTCGCCATCACTGCCTTAGGCCTTTATACCCAACGGCGCCTGCCTCTCTGAGAGGCTTTCTTGGAGGTAAAAGGAGGAATGGGCTAGCTGGTCCCTAAGGCCAGCTCCAGCTCTCTCTGTTCTTACACTAAAACTCTCAGCACAGGTCTTCATACCACTGACAGGGAAGGCTGCTTAAATGCTCACATCTGACGTCCTGGCAAACCAGATGGTTGTTAAGATAGGGGCTCCATTCCCTATGCAGTAATGTCCCAGGATGGGGCCTCCTGATCAATACATCAGACTTAACCACTCACGCGTTCGGATTAAGTGGAAATTTCAGCGCTTCCAAAGTTTTTATTGAAGGACAACTTATTTGAAAAGAAATTCCCTGTATTATAAAACAATCAAACAAAAGCTCTTCAATAGCTTCCGTTTCATTTATTTTTGACTTTCTGTGAAGTCTTAGCAAACACCTTGGATTTGGAATTGGAATCTAGTCCATCTTGCCCTCAGCTGGTAGCCATGGCTCTCTCCTTCACAGACAGAAAAATTCCTTCAAACAGAGCAGGATCTTTCACTAGACTGATAGAACATGTAAATTTGCCTTTTTATTAGCTATCAATTCTCATTTCTAGTCTAAACTAATTCTACTCCCAAGATTTCAAATGAGACATTCATAGTAAAGCAAGAAACCCTTTGCATTGTCCCTGGACCACAGACTATATCCTCATAACTGTGACTCAAGCCCCGTTGGGCCAACAAGTAGTCAGTACCATGGAGGACTGGTTCCAGGATGCCTGTATCTACCACAATCTGCAGGCACTCAAGTCCCTTCTAAAAATCACTGTCATATTTACATAGAACCTACACAGTCCTTCCATGTTCTTTAACCTACTAAAAGATTATTTATACTGTAAATGCTGTGTAAATAGCATTACACTGTATCATTGAGGGAATAATGACCAGGAAAAACTCTGTATAAGTTCAGTACTGATGTATTTTTTTTTTTTTTTTCATTATTTCTGATCCAAGGTTGGTTGACTTCATGGGTGCCTAATCCACAGATAGGGAGGTTTTTGCAGTCACATAGCTGGTGCAGGGGCGCTGCAGAGATTCTATAACATGGGGTCTGGAAAAATAGCCCCATAGGAGAGTGCTAGTCAGACTTTCTCTCACTAGATGTGGCACCTTGAGCTCATAAGAGTTTGTTTCTGTATGCTACTTTGTGTCCTGCTAACCTTTTAAAAAGTTAAAATATAATTCAGGTGTATTTCTTTTATACTTTTCCATTGTGGTTTAAATGAATGGTTTCATTAATTTTTTTCTCTTAGTATTTTAGAAATGTGGAAAAGTTAGAAAAGTACACAGAAGAAAATAAAATTTTAAATAATATCACTCCTTGAAATAATTGCCCATATTTTAGTGCTCTGCCTACTTGAGTATTTTTTCATTATTAAATAGTCTAATATTAAAAGTTATTTTTAGCTGAGTATGGTGGTGCATGCCTCGATTCCCAGCACTCAGGAGGCTGGGGCAGGAGAATCACTGAGAGTTTGAGGCCAGCCTGGGCTACATTGTAAATTCAAGGCCAGCCTGAACTACATAGCAAGACCTTGCCTCAGGAAAATTAAAAAATGATTTTTAATGGCTAAACACCAATCTCATATATGAAACATTATTCTCATCATTCACTTTAATGTTGAACAGTTACTTCCTCTTCCCAAGGCTTCTATTGCTATTATCTTTGCATGATTTAAAGTCTTACATTTCAATTTGGCATATGTAT